CTCTTTAAAAATTTGTTTCCTTTTTTTTAAATGGCTTTAAAGATATGTACTGATCCCAGAAGAGCGATTTGAATAAAAAGTAAGGCAATAGTACAAACCAATGTGAAAAGTCCATTGATTTCAATGCCATGTAATGTTGGAGATTTTTGGATTTATGGGGTCATTTAGGTTGGAAAGGACCTTTAGTAACATTGAGTCCAAACTTAGACCTAATGATATCCAGCCCACCAGTAAACCATATCTGGAAGTGTCACATCTGCACCTATGGTGGCTCAACCACTTCCCTGGGCAGCATGTTCCAATGCTTGACAACCCTTTTGGTGAAGAAATTTTTCCTAATATCCAGTCTAAACCTCCTCTGGTGCAACTTGAGGCTGTTTCCTCTTGTTCTGTCACTTGTTACTTTGGAGGAGATTTTGATGCCCACCTGTTTGTATCCTCCCTTCAGGTAAGTTGTAGAGAGTGGTAAGGTCCCCCCGAGCCTTCTCTTCTCCAGGCTAAACAGCCCCACTTCCCTCAGCTGCTCCTCAGAAGACTTGTGCTCTAGACCATTCACCAGCTTCACTGCTCTTCTCTGGACACGCTCCAGCAGCTCAATGTTTTTCCTATAGTAAGTGGCCCAAAACTGAACACAGGATTCAAGGTGCAACTTTACCAGCGTGGAGTACAGGGGGATGATCACTGCCCTGGCCCTGCTGGCCCCACTATTTCTAATACAGGCCAGAATGCTATTGGCCTTCTTGGCCTCCAGGGCACAAGCTGGTTTATGTTCAGCCGCTGTCAACCAACATCCCCAGATCCTTTTCTGCCGAGCAGATTTCCAGCCACTCTTCCCCAAACCTGCATGGGGTTGTTATGACGCAAGTGCAGGACCCAGCACTTTGCCTTGTTGAAGAATTGGTCTCATCCTCTTGTTACTGAATTTAAAGCAAATACATACATAGCATTTATAATTGTATTATGTTTTGAAAAAGAATGAATTTAAAATAGTTACTGTTCTGATTGAAAAGATCAGAGTAGAGTTAAAGATACTGCATTTCTAGAAGTCATTGCATTTTATCAGGAGAAAAAAACCTGTTCAGATAAAGGTTCAGATCTGCCAATTTCTGTTAAAACTAAGTAAAGTCTTTAAATGTACACCTGATCACATTTGCTTGAGTTTCAGAGTTACACACAAGATGGTTTTGGAATCTCTTGGTAAAAAAGCCTCTGCTTTGGAGCCTATTTCTTTCCAGGGTAATGAGGACAAATGGTTGCAAAGTGTCAGTGCCTCTTCAAAGGAGAATAGGTGAAATTCTAACCTTCTCTCTTCACTTCTGGGAAGTGGCTAATGTGATAGGCTTATGAAGTCTCTCAAATAGTGGTTTAGAAGTTGGGACCATGAGGAATGTATGTGTCTGAAACACTGGTGAAAGTGCTGGGTTTGCCTCAGTTGTTTCCTGGATGTACATACTCACTACCAGGAAAAAGTTATTGGGCCACATGGCTTGTATTTCTCTTTCTGTAGCAGAGACCCGTGGCCGATTAACACCTGCACTTTAGCTCACAAGACTCTTTTGTGAGCAGGACTCTTTAAGTTTGAAGTAAAAATTGCCATCTGCCCACCTCCAACACCACTGCTAATCCATTTCAGAGGGAAAAGTTCTGGCTTTCCTTCCACATGCAAAAGTGGGTAATACGTTCATTAAGCAAAGCAGCACGTGCATTTTACCTCTGAACTCCCAAGGGGAAAGTCCATACGTTTTCCAGGATATAAATTTCCCTATTTGTGTCTTAAAGGAAGAAGTGAGAGTAATATGCGTAAATCAAATAAAAATCACGTCTTTGCCCCCAAAAGATGCCCGGATGAGCGAAGTATTAATTGCCTTCTTCGATAATAAAGTGATTATAACAAATAATAAAACAGGATTATAAATTATGTGAAGGTAGCAAAGTAGCTGCTGACCAGTTTTTGGTATATGCAAAACACTTTTTCAGAAGGAAATGATACTAATAGTAGTTAAGATTAAAAAAAAAAAAATAATCCAAATTTTGGATTCTTTTAGGTTGTTAATTTTTTGGGGTTTTTTTTTTTTTTTTTCTTTTTTTTAAAGAACGTAAATTTGAGTATGCCTGTTATCTGAGCTGGAGGAAAAAGTTTTTTAGTATACTGCTGTTAGCACCCAAACCCATTGCTCAAGGGTCAAATTTGCATGCAAAGTGGATGGCACTTATTTTTGTCACCTATATATAGCTAGTTCTTCTGGCTTACCTTGCACTGTAAATTGTCCTTGTTATGATAGTCATCCCCTTTAGCCTGACTTACAGTCTTAAATTTCCATCATCCCACACAAATGTGGCATTCACACTTCTTTTTATTCACAATTTTTTACATTGGGAATGTGGAATTCTGAAGTTGGGAGGATCTTTTTTTTTTTTTTCCTTTGGTTTGTTTTGAAAACGAGGATTCATAAGCAAAAGAAGTTAAGCCTCCATTATCTTGGTCTTTACTCTCCAGTTATTTTTTATGAGTCCTGTATTTCAACTTTGACAGGATAAGAAATACATAGGGTTTGTGATAGGCATACAATTATAAAAGAAAGCATTTTTAATTCCAGAGAAATGAGTAGGAGTAGAATGTAAATACATGTTATGTCAATATTATAGCTTCTTTTAAAATTATTTTAGTTACATGGTAATGGAGATATATTTTTCTTCATTGCAGTTTCATAATGTTTTCACAGTATTCTGAGTTTCAGTTTCTTGAATTTAGAAAGAATCTTCATGTGCCAGCAGTTCTAAACCTGGACTCAAGATCAGCTATGGGTTTTAAAGGGAAAAGCCCTATGGAAAACGCAGCCGTAAACCTTTTGTGCTTTTGTGTATACCAACAGACGCAATCAAGTGATTTAGGTTCCTGCTCACAGATAAGAGAACCACTGTGATCTCATCTCATTTTAATCGAACGGAAGTAAGGAACCTTTTTGAAAAATTTCTCTGTGATATGTATCTTTTTTTCTTATCATTTGGCAAAATATATTTTTAGGATGGAAAAAAATGCAAAAGGAGAAGATGCATGCAGATGCATTTGAGAGCCAAATTTGCGAAGGGAGGCAAATTAACATCCCACTCAATAGGTTCTTCTCATTCCTTTGTTTTCAAAGCTTTCTTCACTTCACTTGTTCCCAGACTGTGGTTTGTGATGAAATATTAAAAAGGAAAATTCAGTTGGTTTTCAGTTAAAAGTTTGATCATAAGTAATATGGTGATCTGAGAGAAAACAGTCTGGTTTTGTTTTAAGACTGTTTCCATAAGGCAGAATACAGAGTATACCCACAAACTGCTCCGTCTCACTTGTATGTAGTTTGGTTAGTCTGTGCAAATGCCCTCCAAAAGATCGAGCTCAAACAGGTGATAATCTAGATTTTGAGATATTACCAGCTGGAAAGAGATAGGGACCTATCTAGGATACCTTTATTTCATAATTGTCTCCCTTGTATTAGCTTCTCTTTTGTTTTCATTAACCTACTTTGTCAGCCATTTTGAATGTAAGAAGCCAGGAATCTCTTACATGACTTCGGGTTTTTGTCCAGGGTGTCAGCATTTGAGTACAAACTTATAAAAGAAGTTGCTGACACCAGCAGTGGAAGTTTTGAAATTGTGTAAATGCTTTAGCCTAAGGAAAATGCTCCGTAATAATAGAGTCGAGCACTTGTCACCCATTTAAAAAGTATAAAATTGTCAAATATTTATTAATAAATCATTTGCTCTTGTAGTGAGGTTCCTGTCAGCTTACAGCATGTATTTGTACAACACTATGTATTTGTTGGGTCTTGATTTCAGTACATTCAGATCAGATTGTGAAGGTTTGACATGGAATGCCTGGCAGAGTTGGTCATATTTATTAACTGTATTAGTTATGGAGGAGACCCATTAGAACTTACTCTTCACTGGTTCCTGTTAGAAGCATAGTAAGATATGCGTAAGATATGTTGCTTTCTTGCTGTTTTGCAAAACAAGGATCTCTGCACCATGCTAGCTAAAGCATGAAAGGAATCACAATCTGAGAAGGCATGGTCTTAGTCAAATAAAAGTATTAGTAATTATTTCTCCAGACTGCCAACTGCAATGCAAATCTAGTCGGTTCTGCAAAACTGAGAGTTTTGTGGTTCCTTTATTATTCAGTGGGCAATCATATTGCGCACTCGTGATTTACATAATGCTGACCTTCAGTTCATCTTCATTTCTTATATAAAGGGTAATTGTAAGAAGCAGACAGGAAGACTTACAGTGGATTGGCTTTGTGGGCAGGAAATGCTCACAAAACCTGGCAAGACTATTCTGGACAATTACATGAGAAAGATCTCTCACGGTCTGGAAGATACCATGGAAGAGTCAAGCACTTTGAGAATGACAAAGTATTTTGCTTGTGTTGATGGAGCTATTCCAATTCATACAAAATTCTCCCTAGGGTATTCCAGTTCTACCTCTGTCTGTACTCCGGATTGCTGTCTTACCCATACAAACCCTTAAACAGACAAACACTGGCTTGTAAAAAGGGAGATGAAGGATTTCTACTACATCTCTGAGGAGAGGAGGAAAAAATTGCAATTAAGGATTTAAATTCAGTGTTATGCAAAGGTAACACTGAGAAGAAAAGGAACATGTAGATGATAGGTTTTATTGCTTCCCTCAAAATCATTATTTTTATCTCAGAAATCTGATTTCAGACAGCAGTGATGAACAAATTCCCTTGTAGACAACAGCACCACAACAGTATGCTGTCAGGTAAGGCAAATGCATTTAATTAATTTACGTGTGCTCAGATTCAGAAGTGCGTATCTTCTGACACATTTGTACATTCTCACAATTTTCATCGTGCTTCCTTATTTTGCCGTTATCACAACTCGTTTTAACACAGCTAACAATGTCTTCGGTGTATTATTCCCTAACATCTTGTTCCGATTGTGAAGAGACATCTGTGCCCTGTGCCAAACATGTGCCGAGTGACTGCTGCTGCCTAGTGTAGTGACAAGGTGTAGAAACAGCTCAGTGCTTGGCAGGAGTAAAACAGTATGCCAGAGGAATTTGCTTCCCAGCATGAAGAAATTCTCTGTGACTATTTTGATCTTGCACAAGACTTGTGAAGTACTGAAGTCATGTCAGGTTCTGAAGTATTAAAATTTGCTCCTGACTTTTGATATTTTTGATTTTTGACACAGCATTGCTCCATGCAAAAGATAGTTTAACAATTCCATGTTTCGGTGGATACACTCTTAAAGTACCATTTTCTCACTCTCTTCCTTCTTTCTGGAATCTGGAACGGGTAAATTTATTGCAGATTTCAAACCTGTCAACACCCAAATGTGTGACACCAGCTCTCAGTACATCTGAAAGAGCTAAGCTGAGGGACATGCTAATATGTAGCAGGGGAAGAAGACGGAAGTTCTGCAGAATACATTTTGTGCAGTACAGAAAACTTTTCTGTGAAAAACTCCATTTTGAATTTGATCAACGCTGTTATCAGCCTGCAGTTATTAGCGAGTTAGAAAACAGCAGGACAGGAGTTTGGACTTCATGACTCTCCTTTGTACTCGAACGTAAGAGGAATCTGTGCTTATACTGTGGAGAGTTATATGAGCTGCTTAAATGCCAGACCTGAAAGTTATTAAAAATATGCATAACTGCCAACTGCAAGATAAGGAAGTTCATGTTTTGGAAACTCCCACTGTCATTAGAGAGCAACCTCACCCAGCAGCCTGGCTGCATCCGGATAATGCAGCTGAACCAGGAAGTGCCACTGTGCATACGCTCGTGCTTTGCCTTTGCAGCTGGCCAGTTACGCACACACTTGCCTGGAGTCATGACACGGCTCTACTCTGCTGCTCCAGCCCCGCTGCTGTGCACCCTCGCTGTGCTCTTCAGAACATCTCTGTCGGTGCGCCATGTACCGATGCTGCTTTGGTCATCTCAGAGGTAAGAAATGTAATAAAAGAGTATCTGTACTTGTGCTGTTGCTCTGTGTGTGTGTGTATGTGTGTGTGTGTGCAGAATATATTGTATTTAATCAGGTGTAAATAACCTCTGGGCACTAAAATTACCCAATAAATAAATTGGTCTCTCAGCAATCAAACAACATAACTGATGAATTTACCCATTTTTATTTATAATTTTAGTGTTCTAAGATGGGCATATTCTTCAAATCTGAAGTACACATTCACCTTAAGGCAACCTTGAACTCTGCTGTCACAGATGTCATGACTTAAAGGCACAACATAAGGCAATCTTTAATCCCTGCATTTCTTATCTCCTGGATCCTGATTTTTCACTTTTTTTTAATGCAGTTTTTTTTTTAGCAGAACACACTGCTGTATGCATAAACATCAATTGTTAAAAAAAACAGCAGTCTTGATGGATCATAGAATCGTAGAATCATAGAATAGTTAGGGTTGGAAAGGACCTTAAGATCATTAAGTTCCAACCCCCCTGCCATTTGCAGGGGCACCTCACACTAAACCATGTCACCCAAGGCTCTGTCCAATCTGGCCTCCAGGGATGGAGCATTCACAGCTTCCTTGGGCAACCCATTCCAGTGCCTCACCACCCTCACAGTAAAAATTTCTTCCTTATATCCAATCTAAACTTCCCCTGTTTAAGTTTTAACCCGTTACTCCTTGTCCTGTCACTACAGTCTCTAATGAAAAGTCCCTCCCCAGCATCCCTACAGGCCCCCTTCAGATACTGGAAAGCTGCTATGAGGTCTCCACGCAGCCTTTTCTTCTCCAGGCTGAACAGCCCCAACTTTCTCAGCCTGTCCAAAGAGTCAAGCAAAATTTAGGGATTTGCATACATGCATGAAATGAAGACTTTGAACCTTTCTCGAAAGAGCCTGATACAGACCTCGTTTTTTCCAACCAAGAATTCTATTCACGCAGACTTTAAGGATTTTATACAATTATTTGGTATTTCCAGAAATACGGTAGCTTAACAGCTTCAGGTGGGGCACTGGATATGTGAAGTTGTCAGAGGACTATGCGCCTCTTACTCACAAGGCTGTCTCTTCAGGGCATACACATTGTTTTTGTCTAGGAAGTACTGTCCCAAAATACAGTAAGCTGATGTCAGAGATCTGTAAGAAAAGGCTCCTGAGGGCTCATGGGATCAGAGGACTGACTGGGAGGGCTAAAAGCAAAGTTCTGTTCTGGGTGGGAAGGTGGCAACACAGCTGCTATACTCCATAGAATTTGTTTAATATGTGCTTTGGCCTGAGTAAATTACTTGACTCTTGCCTCCTGATTCCTAAATCCTCTTTATTCTTAACCTGGTTTATATAAGTTATAAACACACTAATTGAGAGTCCATCTCATACCCTCAGAAAGCAAGTATGTATTGTATTTAATTCAACCTGATCTCAGCTCGGCATTTATTTGCTTATTTATTTGTCTTACACAAATAATTCATTACACCAACAGTATTTGGAATTTGTCACAATCCAGCTGGGTGATTCTCTAAGCATAAACTGCTTAACTGTACCGTGCACAGCCTTGGTACACAGGTTAACCCTCACTTTTGCTGTAGGTAAAATGTTGGAAAGAGTTTGTTTTAGAAAAAAAGTGTTCCTAAGAGACTAAGAAAAGATCAGTGATTCCTTTGTCCTACTTCCTAGTTGGTATAAACAACACACTTGTTGAAAATAAAAGCAAGATCTTATCAGTTAATCCTGGGTGGTCATAAAAGCAGACTTTCCACTGAGATGCGATTAGCATCTTGCTTTAGATTAGGCTGCAGATTGTTCAGGTTTATACAAATCTGGACCCAGAAAATCAGGATAGTGGACTGATTAGTCTGGTTTCATGTTTCCACAAATAGAACATTTTCTGGAGGAAGCGTTCTTCCAACCATGACCTTTGCATTTTTGAAAGGAGAAGGTGAAGTTCTTGTGGGGCAGAAGTTAGTTCTGGTGAGAGTCAATGAAATAACAGGAAAGCGTATACATGGTATTTTGTAAAATAAAGAAACAGTAGCAACAACTTTTGGTTTGTAACCCTGAAATGAGTGCTTTACGTCTTGGTACTTCACGGTGATGCAAGGTTTGCAGTATGTGGTCTTCAGGCTTATGAAACCTAGAAACCTAGAATTTTAGGAAAAGTATCTAAAGAGGTGCAGCAATTATCAATGGATTTCTATTCACTCTGTGGAAACGTGTCCCACAGTTTAAAAGTTCAGTGATTCACTAATCAACAACTGAGATCTGTTCTATCACCCTCTCCCAGGTTATCTGGTAGGATCTGATATCAAATAGTTGAAAGGTAATACATTTTGCTTTTCTTTAGGACTAGCCATTGTTTGTAAAGCCCTGTCTCAGAACAGCTACATTAGAATAATGTAACACTTTAAAGTATCTCTTTTATGCATTACTGCTGTACTATAATCATGCTATTAAAGATAATGTTAGATATCAGATACAGATGAAAATTACAGCTGACAAATATATGCAGTGTACAAAGCATAAGGTGAGCGTAATATATATCCTTTCAGGGATATTAGTAATACAAATACCTCTTTCCTCTATAAAGAAAAATGCAGATCTCTACTTTGAGAAAAATAAGTGCTTTTAACCAAACAAAAATCTTTCCCATTGATCCCAGCAAATGATGGAGTGGAAATAACTCAGTATGTCATGGTGTCCTGCTTTTCACAAAGGAATACTAATGTATCAGTAGAGATTCTCCAAATAACTTTGGCCTGGACAAAATTTCCTTTCTCTTAAATCAGCCTTTAAACTAATAACTCCAGTTGCTTTTCAAAGCAAGAGAGATGGAGAAGTTCCTCTTGCAAACAATACACAGCAGAAACTTTATTTAGCCATTTTGAACCAATATCCAGAACTTTTTCTTTCCTTCCCCAGATTAGAAAGGGAGCTTGAGTAAATAAATTGATTAAAATTAGCTTTTACAATTGCCCCTCATGTGTTTGTTTTAGAAATTATTTTTGCCTACAGTCATTGCAAAATGCATTACTACATTCATTTATGCTATGCTAATACTGGGAAATGAATTCTTTCCTGGAAAATCCAGATTATAAGTGACTTTCTGAGACAGCGTTAATGCTAAATTGTTTATTTACTGTGTTTCCTAAAACTGCAAGGAATTAACTGGAAAATCTACTGGAAAAAGGTGGAACATGAAGAGCATACAGTGGAACAGAAAAATGTTTTAGCTGTAACTTTATGTGACTCCTGTGGAGATACTGTGTGCTAGCATGCAAGCCAGTTTACTTCTGCTGTGCAGGAGAAAACACTATTTCTTATATGGTAATCACAATGAGACTGAAAGAGACAAATGACAAGAATAACGTGGAGGAAAGAGTTCAGGAGGCAGCTACAAAGCGAAAATGTAGGCTCGCAAGTAAGAGTTACTGTTATCTTACCATCTGCCCTTCTGGTGTGTTGGATACAAGAAATCTTGAAATCTTTGTTTTCATTAATAGTAATTCCAGTTCTGCCTAGAAAAAACACTGGTCAGTTAAGAATCTGTATGCTTAAACCTTTTGTCATGCCAGAGCAGTTAAGGACAAGAAAGAAGCAGAATAACAATCTAATGTCTGCTATTGGTGGAGAGAACAGGTGATTTTTAAGTTTCCTCCTTTTTAGCCAGCAGAAAAGCACTATATTATCAGAGATGCTCATCATTGTGAGCCCCCATGGCTCAGGACTCTAGGATGGCTCTGCAGTGCAAAGGTTAAGTCTGATGTGCTTGGCATGCAGAGGACCGCAGAAGGCTGTTCATCTTTGGACATAACATTATGTGTGAGCAATCAATAGTAGCAATCAATATGTGTGTTGGCCTACTGCCTGTTTCATCCTTTGCCACCCCTGACTGATCTCTTGCTGACCGCTTGATGTGAAGCATTCAATGGGATGGGCCTGTTCACTGCATTCAGTAAAGCGCACCGTCAGCGTAGCCGTGATGCACTGCCTGTGGCAGTCATGCATCTCCATTTCACTCTGCAGTTCACAGTAAACCAGCTAGTACAACGTAAAACATATGGCATTTCCCATCTGAACCATGGTGAGAATACTGTTGCACCCAGCTGACAGTAGCAGCCCCCTCAAAGGGTATAGCCTTGCCTACAGTGCTTAGCAAACTGTTTAGAAGCAGCACAATAAATGCATGTGTAATATACTGAATGTAAGCGTTAAGAAAACACTGCGTTATAATAGAATTATTGAATAACTGATGTAGATTTATTTTTCTAATGATGATGCTGGAGTTACTAAAGTTGACTGGAAGCTAAAAGGTCTCACAAAAAGTGCTTTTCAAGATTGGATAGTTAGCAAGAACTGCTACAAGGAACACGGAATAGCTTAGAATAAAGTATGCTTTAAAACAGTATCATTACATTTCTGAGTTTTTGAGTTCACAACAAAAGCCTTTGCCATTGTGCTGCTGCAAATAGCTTAGTTTTGTTTTATGTGCTATTAACTTTTATTCTTAACTACATGTCCACAAAGCTCTCAAAGTGTTCATTTTTTTTTAAGATTATATTTATATAATTAGTTTATAAAATAAATATGCCAAGATACTCACTTTCATTTTCTTTCATACAACCCAATTTTTAACATCTCTTAATTTAACCTATCTTCTTTTCCTTTAATGTCATTAGTATTTTGCTGTGGCCACGCAATGCAAAAAGTCAGTATGAAAGTCAATTCCTGAACAACCATTCAGAATCTTTGAGGGGTTTGTGTTTTCATGTATCTTATTTTCAAAGATCATACTTAATATTTGTGATAGTGAGGTTTGTCTTTTCTGACAAGTTGAGGCATTTCTGACAAGTTGAGGTTACAATTTCTAGCTGTTTGGCTTTATAAATACAAGTTAATGTGAATTTCCAAGCACAAATTAACAAAGAAATGAGGATGCTGAGTAAAACTAAGAAAATGTCAAATGATAATTTCAACCAAATAGAAAAAAAAATCCTTGCTGCACAGCTAAGTTTCCTTCTAAAGCTTGAAAAGTGACCGGCAGAAAACCTACTAGAATTTAACATCTGCAGCACATTGTCCTGAAAAAGTTTTCCACATGTACAGTTTAATCTAATACTCTCCCAAACCCCAAAATCTGAAGTAAGCTGGATATCTAGTACTGCAGGAGTGTACTGTTTTATCTCTGCCATGGGTCCAGTTTGAGGCTTTCGATTCACTTTTGGCAATCTTCATTGGAATTACTGGGAAGTCTTGAAGTGAAATATAGATTTTTCCTTATCCAAGAAACAACATTGAAACCCCCCTATGTGTTCATTACCCCTGTTCTGCTTCCATCTTAAGAGACTGCCAAGATTGTTCTCACTCATAAAAGCTTGCTGTGCAAGGGTCATTTTCAAATTGCTTTTGGGTTAGAAAATTTAATCAGCATCTCAACTTCACCAAATTGCAATCATATAAGAGCTGGTGCTACAGCACTCAGCGATTCGCTGTATTTTATTGTTTGTAATTAGAACCAATTAGAGGATCTGGAATACCTGATTTCTCAGTCATTACCAACTGATACATATCTGGGGAAGATGGGAGATTGTGCTTCAAATGCTGGGTTTTCTATAGAATGAGTTTTACCTTAGCCAAAACACCCAGGACCAAAGTATTCATAATAAATTTCATCCCTGTAGACCCATGTTGCATACTGTTAAAATCCCAGTCATGTGTTGAAAGAATAATGCCATCTCATTTTGTCCATAACTATTTTTTGGTAGCAGCAAAGCTAAATGAATGAGAAATTTCTCTTTCCAGTCCTCATAATGACAGGTTGGCAAAAAACTCGTAAGCTTTTCTTGGTGTCTTGAGCTATTCTGTTCAGAAGAGCTCTTCTTTCTGGAAAGGCAGCAATTCTGAGCTGCTTCTGCAGAATCGGTCCTTCACCATGAAGACCTTAAGACAGACCATATTGTTTACAATGACACTGAAAAGCCACTTTTATTTAACAAAAGATTTATTAAAAACCTTGATTTTATGACAACTTGTGGTCTAGCCTGAGTTCTACTCCTCTCTGGCCACCAAGATATCCAATGCACTGGAAAGTGGTTTGGGAGTTTGGATTCCCTCTGGGAATTCTCTGTGAATCTTTTGAACATGTTATTCTTCTTTCCACTCAGTAGCTATTTTTGTTGCACACAAACAAGAAAGTAGAGGCAGTTATCTTAATTGGACCATTTTTTTTCATCCTGTAACACAATTAACATGATGTGGGCATAAATGGGCAAGTTCTTTTCCTCTTGAGTAGAATGCAAGTAAACTGAACTGTAAACCTGATCTTAAACCAAAGATGATATCGTTACCTTCTGTTTCATGGTTAAAGAAAGAAGAGGTGTCATCACTAGCAGCATGTTTTACAGAAAAAACAATTATTTTTGTAGATTACAGTGGAATGCTGCCTTACATGAAGGACACATCATCTCAGCACAGGAACTGACTGTACTCTTGCAACCATTTACCCGGAATTCCAGAAACCTCATCTTGTTCCTGCAAGATATGGTATGTAACATTAATTCCTTTTTTCTCACCAATGCTGAGTGCTGTTCTGTACCTGAATGAGATGCCACAGCTCCCTCTCACCAATCTACTCTCTTTGTTTTTCAGCTTAGCATAGATGATTTCACATACCTCAGTGAATCCTACGCTAACAAGAATCCGTTTCAAAATGTTCAGGCAAGCATTTCTCTCTTTTATTTTTTTATATGTAGTATTTAAAATTAAGAAACCCCCAACAAACATGTAAGAAAGATGCAAACAGACAATAATTGAGAAAATTAAACTGAATTGCAACAGTTTTCCTACTTTAATTATTTATTGAGATTATTCCAGTTGAATCAGATGGGTTAAAGGAAATCAACTGAGTTTGCAGAAATGTCTTTCGTAGCTATTTTATCTGAAGATTGAGTTTTCAAAATTCATTGTAACTGACAAAATTATTCCTAAACGTGCTGCAATTTAGTGTTGTAAAAAAAATAAAATATACATATATATATATATATATATATATATAAACTTCAAGACTGACACCCCAAAATTCTGTTTTGGAGCCATAGGAAGAAAAGAAGTTATAGGAATCAATTATTTATTACTGATTTTCAGAACTGAACCCCCATTTTATTTTCATGCAGGGAGTTAACGGTTTCACGTTCAAACACGGTTAATATGTAACTAGATAGTGGATTGCTTTAATCTTCATGAGAAAAAGAAATGCTACTTGAGTAACTTGAAATGAACTCCATGTGCAGATTCTAAGATGGAGTCCTCCTGAGCCAGTCAGCAACTTCAGCTTCTGTCCTCGCTGAGGAGGTTTATGGATTTTTTGCACAGCATCTATGATTGTATTTGCATGACCATTTATTGAACTGTAATTATATAGAGGAAGTGTTCACACATGAAAGCCATAAAGGTATTCCTGCAGGCAGTGCAGGAGGAACAGAGGAAGTGTAAATTCCCAAGCACCACACGGCGAGCTGTATGTGTTATTAAATACGTAAATATTCACGTATTACCTTTACATCTATACTAAGAACCTCACATCTTCCTTGTATTATTAATACTGGATATCTTCATCTCTTTGCCACATAACAGCAGTTTAAAACTGATGCTAGAACAAAACCAGCTATTCAGGGTATGTATACGTATGCATTTTCTGAGGAATGAATGGGGGTACTCTTCTTTTGTAATATAAGGATCAGCGGTTGTCCACAGGCAGATGTACCGGTACTTCTCTGGTATGCCTTATACTCTCCAAGTTTCAAACCTATGCAAGGCAGTCTGCAGAGCAAAGTTTGCTGCTGTCTAACAGCAAAACTCGTTTGATTTCAGAAGCTGTGTGAAATGTGCACATGGCATTGCAAGCTCCTAATGATGTGGTGGCATTATTTAAGTAAGCCCTGGATGTCTAAAAGGAGGCATATTAAACTATTTAATACTTTTTTTTGCCTTGTAATCAGGACTCCATCAGCACCGTAGATAGAGCTTGAGGTTAGAGATGAGTCCAGAGATTTACAGGTTTAGAAATTGGATGGTGTACTGAGTGGATGGAGACCTACAGAGAGCTTGTGAGGAGGTCCTCAGCTAAACAAAGGTCCTTTGTTTATCTATATAGCTATATATCTTGGGTCTGTATCTGGCAGAGCACAGAGTTAAACCCAGGTTTTCAACAAGCTGAATAAATGTCAGTAACTGCTTTCTGACCTTGCCTCTTTTCTCTGTCTGTCTTGGGGCTGAGAAACTGTTTCTCATTACAGCTTCTTTAAAAATTGAAAGTTTCTTTTGACAAATTGCTCACCTTAGCTCCAGCACTTCCTGGATTTGTGCTGTTGGACTTGAAAATCTTAATACTTTTCTAGCATAATTCTGTGGGTGTGAGGTGCTGTAACTTGAGTGAAAAAAAAAAGGGATGTATAAATTAAATATTTATTTTTCAGCTAGGTGCTAACATGGAGAATTTTGTCAATATCTATTGCATAGACTTGGAGCTTTTAGGACCAGAAATCATCTTTCTAATCATCCAGTTCCATCTTGGATGTAATAGAGGCTACAAAAATTTGCTCAGTTGCTATGGCATCAGTTGCACTCCACTTGAGCTGCTTTGGGAAAGAAACTCATTCTTAATCATGCTATGAAAGACTCTCATAATATGCACAAAACACAGGACAAAGTGAGGGTCAGGTCTGAATTTTCTCACTGGGGAAATTAGAATCTTGGATGTTGCATAATCACAATTTTTATACCTTCACAAGTGATTCATTAGGCTGTAATAGGCACTCCATGTCACTTGGGCATCCTCCTTTTGAACTTCAGAAATGGAAATTTGTTCACAACCTAAACTGAAGATCTCATTTAGAACATACATGTTCATGTAGCAGCATGTGTACTACAAGAGGGAAGTGTTATTTGTAAAAGAGTTGGAGGCTTGTAAACCACAGAGACATTTACAGAGGGTACATTTGTTCAACTGTTAGCAGCTGTTTTGAGCTTTTGGTATCAATGGGTTTGTATGCAATAAAAGAATTCTATTTCCAGTTAATACAAAAGGAAGCTTATAGGTAGATCATTTATCTTAAACATTCAAAGAATTTTTAAATTAAATAATAAAATACAAAGATTAGCACTTGGAGAACTTTTTTGTCAAGCAGTCACCTACCATACAAGCTTCTCCCCACTATAATCCTTCCTTGTTGTTGTAGTGTGTATTTTATTCTTTGGAATAGTTCCTCCCATTCTTGGACTTCAGGTTTCCTTCTCTAGGCTTCCTCGAATCTGTCTATAACCCTTGAAAAAAATCTGATGTCATGTTTCCCACCATACAGTACAGTGGTATGGAGGTTTGTTCAACAACGGTTTCTGTAACTACAACATATTTTATCAGCTAAAGTAAATCAGATCAATTTTTATTAAAATCATAACATGTAGCTTTATGCATACATTTGGAGAACACAGGTATAGTGTAAAAGACTGCAAGAGTAATAGAAATTGGAAGGTTAAAATGCAACAGTGATAATTTTCTTCGTAGTTATTACTGTGTGTAGAAACAGATGTGCTTCCAAATGTGTTTGAAGAGATTTTTCTGTTTGTATAGATAACCCATTGACCAACACTGTAGAAAGTAAGTACAATACTTAATATTTTTGTATTACATACAGGTAACAAAATAATACTTAAAAGATCTTTTTTACATGGAGGAGCCTGCCTACTCTGTATGTAGGTTCCCAGATATCTCCACAGCAAGCACAGGAGCCTTTTTCCAAACAAATGTTTTTATTATAGGACTGTCTATCAGCTTTGATACCAAACATAAGCTAGTTCAGAACAATGAGTACACCTACCTAATCTCTTATAGATGGATGCACAAGTCTTTAGCAAAGATTTTAACAATAGTTTTTTAATGATAGACCTAAATTTACTCTATTCCAGGATCAAATTGCTCAGGTATAATATCAATCCAGTTAACATAACACTGAAATGAGAGCTGGGCAAGTAAGTCCAAGCACAGCTTTATCATAGTGTAGCTACTTGGCTTCAGGATGGCTAGAAATGTGGGCAGAGACATCCCAAACCTACCTTCAAAAAAACCTGAACAGTGATGTATGTAATCCAGGAGTGAACCTTCCTGATATTTCATCCGGAGAAGTGCTTCAGGGAACAATAAAGAGGGGAACTGTACTCAGAGTAAGCTGCCTGTAGACAGGTTATAAATTCTGGCATTTAATGTAGGAATTCCTGCTATTAGTCCAACAGCTCAATAGGAGGTTTTCTTCTTTTTCCTTCTCCCCCTTCCTCTTTCTTTCCTAGCTACTGCATGGATGTACCTCTTTCTTCAGTCTTTTAGCAGATTTCTCAGTAGCCCTTTTCATTCTCCGCCCTCTTTGTTCTTGTGTTCTGAACATACATGGCAGTTGAAATCCTAAAATGTGTAAAGCAACGTAAAGAGAAGTGTGCAGTGGCCAAACGTCAAGAATGACAAACAAGAGGCATGGGATCAGAACAGCTATCTGAGACTGAGGAGCAGATATCCAGCTGTGTCTGGCTTTCAGTTGGAAAGCAGTTGAATACCAGCGTCTGGAAGCTGAGACAGATGGCACTGCAGGATTGCTTAGGAGCAGAGGCACAGTTCCAATAATGCTCAGTAACGATGCATTTTATATCTTATTTTACAATAAATGAGTAATCTGTTTAATACATGTCCTTGGAACAAGTGCCTGCTGCCATTCTGGCTGCTGCTAGGGGGCAAAGGATTAAATATTGAAAAAAAAAAGAAAAAAGTTGACTATTGCTCAGAATTTTAGCTCTAAATTCATATAAACAAACAAAAATGAAGCATATCACTGTTTCCTTCCTGGCAGTGCTAAAAATGCTCAAATACTTGTGAACCAGATCAGTACTTTCTGCTCTATTTTAATTTCTGCAGTTATTTTTCTATCAGTCTGTCAAATCAGACAATGCTGCATAATTCTCCCTTTGAGAATCTATAGAAATGTGAAAATAACTAGCCCTTGCCTAGGAAGAAGTACATGTGAGCAATTAAGAAGAGCCAGAGCAGGTCAGAAAAAGTGGTAGGCAGTTGGAGGACAGACAAAAGGGAAAAAGAGTAGGAGGAGAGAAGTGTTAGCAACAGCACAACACTTGCATAAATTAGAGGGAGAGAGAGTCTCCAGCAACTTGAATATCTGAATGTTGGAGCATGTGACAGACTCAATCTAGACTTAAATGTAGAAAGTGGGAAAGCAAAGTTAACAAAGTTTAAACTAAGACTCAATTTAAAAATGTCTTCTAATATTTACATTGAATTTGGGGTACATTAATTTTGATCATTCTCAAGTCTCCATCTTAACATTTTTTTCTGCCTGAATATTTCAAGTTAATTTTATTATCAAGAAAAATATTTGGAAAGATGTTTTTTGACTAATCAGGTTTCAAATTTATAGAATGAGGATGTTTTTTAATTCATTTCACTCAAGTATTTTAATCAGAAGCTGAGCTGTGAAGATTGCAAATAAAGTGATAGCTAAACTGATGCTTGATTATCTGAACCAGTTCAGCCTGAGCATTTGTCATGGTCTAAGCCCAGGCTGTAAATCCTAACCACGCAGTATACCCCCCCCCCCCCCAACTCCCGGAGGGATGGGGAGGAGAATCGAAAGAATGCAACTCCCACCAGTTGAGATAAGAACAGTCCAATAACTAAGGTATAACACAAACCACTACTGCTACCACCAATAATAATAATGATAAGGGAAATAACAAGGGAAGAGAATACAATACCACCCGTCGAAACCCAGCCCGACCCAGCAGTGAACCAGCCCTTCTGGGTAACTCTCAGTTACATCCTGGGCATGAAGTGCTGTGGTATGGAATACCTCTTTGGCTAGTTTGGGTCAGGTGTCCTGTCTCTGCTTCCTCCTGGCTTCCCCTCCTCCCTGGCAGAGCATGAGGCTCACAAAGTCCTTGGTCAGGCTAAACATTTGAGCAGTAACTAAAAACATTGGTGTTATCAGCGCTGTTCCCAGGCCGAAAGTCAAAACCACAGCGCTGCACCAGCTACTAAGAAGGAGAAAAATGACTGCTGCTGCTGAACCCAGGACAGCTTTATAATTTGTATTTTGAGTACAAAGACAGAAAGCACATGACATTAAGTTTGTTTGTGTGTCTGGAAGCTTTCTATATCCTGAAACATGTAGCTTTCTTTAATAGTTAAAAATTAGACATTTGTCAATACTATGTGCTGTACTACCAGGATAAACACAATGGAAGGGTATTTATTATGCAAAGTATGACTCTGTACTGAATACAGATGCTGGAACTTGAGGTGTCTGACGTTGATCCTTCTCACCTCCAAGGTTCAGTTAGGTGGCTGTATGATGAGCTTCATTTCTGGCAGCATTCATAAGCTGTCTGTCTAGCTTGAGAACTTCTACGTCATCTGTCTCTCCTCTTCCACCACACTTGTGCAAATAAAGGTGAGAGTCTGATGCCCCTGGGTGTCTTAAGCTTTCCCCCAAAAGTCGCAGGAATGACAGAAGTGTCACCTCACTGCCCCTTTTCAGGAGCAGCCTGCAGGCTGTATCAGGCTGGTGAGAATTAACATACTGTTTACCATGATGGTTCCTCACCTTGAATTTTATAGTAAGGATACATTAAAAAACAAAGTTTGTGTTTAATTATTAAGCAAGTAAATAACTGTTTACAAATTTATTACAGGAAATTCTTCAGTCTTCTCCTTCATCTTTAGTTTTGCCAGCTGTTGACTGTGAGGCTACCAGGAACCTCCTGAGCTTTCTTCAGGAGTCAGAAGACTGGAACTTAACAAACATAACTAATCTCAATGTCTCTCGGCTAGAAGTGAATACACCTAAACCAAACTTGCTGGTGATTCAGCTACAACCACTTGTCAGGTAGGAGCCTGTTACAAACAAAACTGACCCTGTGTGTACACAACTTTGACAGTTTTTGAAAATCCAGGAAATTTAAAAAACAAAGTGCAAGTTCATAGGGTTAGCAAAGTTATTTTTCTTGCAAGGGTGAATTTGGTGCTTTTAGAGTCCCCTGATGAGCTTAGCAGGTGTAATAGATGAATTATGTTGAAAAAGTCAGTCAAGCATTCCATTTTGTCTGCCTCATTATATGAGAATGAAGGGACAACTAATAAAACTAAATAGCAACACACTTCTGGCAGAAAGGTTGAATTATGTTATACAATACATGATTAACCTGCAGAATTAATTACTAGAAGGCATTCCTAAGCATCAAAAAACCTGGCAGGATAAATAAACAAGCAGATAAACATACAGACAAACCTAAAGTTAATATGAATAACGAGACTGATTTTCATCACTCTAGAAGGAAAAAGAGGGCTATAATTCTTCATGTTTCCAGGCCTGGGACAACTGTGATCTAACAGAGCTGGAGAGAGAAATGGTTCCTTCAGGGAATGTATATTTAGAAAATATAAGGCTTGGGTGTATCAATTCATCTGCTCAGCTTGTCCTGTACTTTGTTCTTCCTAGCCTGTTACTCGGGCATTTGTACATGTTAGTATAGGGTGCATGTACCAATGTGTCCTAAAGCAGTGCAACTATAGCTATCACATCACTACACAGAAAAAGACAAGATACCCATTTTAAGGAGCTCATGTACAAACGTTAGACAATGGGCCAACACCAAATGAAAAAACAACCTGTGCAGAGATTGGTCAAAATGCCATCAGCAGTCTCGCTTCTCTGCAACTAAGGAAGTTTGAGGGTTTTGAAGAATCAGATGAAGGTGTGGTCCTTATACTGCTAATAGCTTTGCAGAAGAAAAGGGTCATGAGGAGGACATGAGAGAGTGATGAAGTGACTGATGCTGACAGTAATCTGTTTACTAGTCAGTGTCCTTGTACATTTCTGGTTCACATTGTTCTTGCCTAGAAATGATTTTTAATTATTTTTCTCCCACTCTTTTTGTAGTGGATTAAATGAGATTTCCACCCTGGAAGCAATTGCTGAAAATGGTAAGCAGTATAATCAAGATATAACTCACATTTCATCATTTAAGTCTGTGTTTTCATTTGACCAGATTGTATTCTCTAGTTCCTGGGTTTTGCTGTAATACTACTATTTAAAGGTTTGCTCTTCCCCTATCTATAGTACTTACAAGCAGTCAATTATCATAGAGTTGAAGTACTGAGCATCTGATTCAAAATCCCCCCAAATGGATATGGCACTGTGACCTGAAATGTAATTATAATTCACCTCTGCTTCAGGCATGGGCCTTTGCTCATGCTCTGAGATCCTCCTTGTTCATTGTACAGGCCCTACGTCTCCATGCAGCTTGAGCTTGCATCTCACCTGGTGCACAGGCAGCTGGAGATGTCAGGCTCATTCAACAGTTTGAAGGTCTTAGTCTCAACAGAGGGTGTGTGAATGAATAGCAAATGTTTTTCTAGTCTTTGGAAAACTATACTGTTGCCCTTCACAGCCTTTGGGTTTAGAGTCTTCTATTGTTTTTGCCAAATACTGCTTGTTAAAGTTCAATCTCTCAATATAACACTATAATAAGACTTCTCTTACCTACCATCTGGATGAGAAAGAGTTGCTATACACCCAAAAGGCACTGAGAGACATCTGTTTTGATGTTGCAGTTCTTTTGCTTACTACTTTAAATTAGAGATCAAGTTATAAAGTCTGGAAATCATTGTAATGGTATCTTCAGGAGCGTGTAGTATATTGTAGTGTAGTGTAATGTAGTGTAGCGTAGCGTAGTGTAGTGGGCTAATAATTAAACGGTGTCCTTAGTGCGTATGACTGTTTCTGCCTAAAGCTGGGGGTGTAAATTTGAAAATCAGGGGAAAATACCTTAGTACTGGAATCAGTGGTGTGTCCTTTCCTCTTTGTTTTTGCACTGCTCCAAAGTGAGTGTGTTTTTTGTACTCGAGCAGCTGGATTTACAGCCTTGATTTGCAGAGGAGTTGTTTAGTTCTTTTTTCTTGTCCCCAAGCGTATTAAATATGAAAAGCCTTAGCTTAATGCTGGCCTTGCCTAAACATTAGCCTTTTCTTTATGGGACATTTATTTCATCAGCTGCACAAACTCAAGAAGAAGTTTCCAAACCCTGTCTCAGGCCACTTTGTTTTGGAACAGCAAAGTTAATGGGAGACCTGTGGGATGATGGAGAAACAGGCTATACCAGCTTTCTAGTTAGTGTCATCTAGCTGTTACGAGGAAAAAGATGTGTGGATGAGGGAAGATCTGCTGTTTTGTATGGCCACGTGCAAAATCTGCACTTAGTATTCTGCATCTCAGCTGTGCTCTAGAAAAGTGAGAGTGTGGTCTGAATCCTCACTTCTGATTTATTTGCCAAAGTGGTCACTCACTTGCTGAATAAAAACTAGAAATAACATCAGCAGGAAGTTTTAATTCAAATGAAATTTACTGAGCCACAGTTCCTTAAAGCATTGAAAGTCTGTGCAGCAGATGGGAGAGAGTTGGAAGAGAGTCCTTCCAAAAGTAGTAGGTTAAGTGTCCTGAACACAGCCTTCCAAGTCATGTAGTTTGGGCTCCAGCAGCTCTAGGTGTTTAGGCACAACCACGGTCATTTGCTGAATATTGCTCTCAGGAGACCCTTCAAGATCAAAACTGCTTGCAAGGTTGAGAATTAATTGGCATTTGTTGCAGACGGACTGCTGCTAGATCCTACCTGAGTAAGCAACAAAAAATACTATTTTTCACATACTTTCTCACAGGAACCTCATTCTCACAAGGTTCAACAAGGCCAAGTGCCAGGTCCTGTACCTGGGTTGGGGCAATATCTCAGTATCAATACAGGGCATTAAGGGGTTGAGAGTACCCCTGAAGAGAAGGACTTGAGGGTACTGGAGGATGAAAGATTAGACATGAACCAGCTGTGTGAACTCGCAGCCCAGGACAATCTTGGGCTGCATCCAAAGGACCGTGACCAGCAGGTCAAGGGAGGTGATTCTGCCCCTCTATTCTGCTCTCATGAGACCACACCTGGAGTCCTGCATCCAGCTCTGGAGTCCTCAGTACAGGAAAAACATGGGCCTGTTTGAGAGGGTCCAGAGAAGGGCCACAAAAATGATCAGAGGAATGGAACATCTCTCCTATGAGAAAAGGCTGAGAGATCTGGGGTTGTTCAGCCTGGAGCAGAGAAGACTCCAGGGAGACCTTATTGAAGTCTTTCAGTTCCTAAAAGGGGCCTGTGAGAGACTTTTTAGAAGCGCCTGTTGTAATAGGACAAGGGGTGATGGTTTTAAACTAAAAGAGGGGAGGTTCAGGCTGGATGTGTGGAAGAAACTTTTTACCATAAGGGTGGTAAAACACTGGAACAGGTTGCCCAGAGAGGTGGTGGATGCACCATCCCTGGAGACATTCAAGGCCAGGCTGGATTTGGTTCTGGCAACCTCATATATTTGAAGATGTCCCTGCTTATTGGAGGGAGGGCTGGACTAGATGAGCTTTGTAGGTACCTTCCAACACACACGAGTCTATGATTCTATGATAAGAGAATTGTTAACCTATAAATGTGTAGTTGTTGGGGTTTTTTGTCAGTATCAGCATAAACCCATAGAACACTGCAGACCTGTATTAGGCTACCCAGAAGTTCACAAAGCCTCTTATGTTTGTCACAGAAACTTCTTTCCTTTCTGCTGTAGAGTGTTTTAAAATCTGACGTAATAAAATGTCAGAGAAATCTCTCCTGCTGTTTTACTCACTGCAGAGAGGAAGCTCTGTAAGACGGAACAAATGGGCTCAGATTCTTCCCATGGGAAATGTACTGCTCTGAGATATCTAGAAGCTGGAGTAAGCAGAGGTTTTTAGCATGTTGTTAAAATGAGGCTCATTACAAAATTCAAACTGGAGTTCAGAAACCAAATCTGCTCAAGTGTCAAGGGATTCAGGCTTATGGTTTTCTGTATGCTTCCTTTCAATATTCTTTTTTTTTTTAATTTTGCATGAGGTAGTGTTTGACATAGCTACTCAGTTTTTAACAGCTTTCCTAAATGTTTCTTTGCTTAGAAGGTTGCATTCTGTCATGTCAGTCTTACCTGCTGGATCCAGCATTCTTCAAAATTGATGGAAAAGCTGCCTATGACTCCACCTGCTTAAGATGAAGTGCTTTAACTACTATTGCATGTATTTCTTTTTCCACTCTGATTCTCAGTGCTTTCCACTCTTTCTCTTCTCTCTGATTTTACCCCCTCTCATCTTATTCTTTTCTGTTCTTTCTCTCCTGTTTGTAGTTTGTACTCCTCTTGTCACCTTTCTCCTTCCAGAACATTTCTTCTCAGTTAATTTCTTCCATCCATGTTCACGCAAAGAAATTAAAGTAGATTAGAAATTAACAGTAGCGCTAATACCACACTCCCTCGTGAAATTCAAGGGATGGGTCTTCAATGAATTAGAGGGGTTTACTTCTTCCACCAGGGTGTAAATTCAGGCAGTTTTGCTAACTGGAAGGTGTTACCCTAGACAACCTGTTTTACATTCATACATGTATGTAGTGTTTTCTTGACCCATGCTATCTAAAATTAAAAATACACTTCAGTAGAACCACTCTAACATCAATATCACCACCTGGAGATGCCTCTTTTTCCATCAGAGAGCCTGGGATGGCAAACCATGTAATTCAGGTACTTTAAAACATGGTGGACCATCTGGGCCCTTTTCCTTGGAAAATTTGAAGACACTCAGAAGCAAGGTAGAATTTTGAACACAGGCAAAAAAAGATCTATATCAACTCTGTTGCCATGAGGGTGTTCACAGCAGCTTCTCTGAATGAAGGAATTGCCTCTAGAATCTTCCCAAAGGCAAGAGTTATAGATGTTACTGGTAACTGTAGTTATGTGTAGCTCCTTACTAAAGTGACATGCAAATAACATGTTATTTCAGAAAGCAATCGGTTGCTTTAATGAAAGAAAATCCAGAGACAATCCATGTATTTTCCTATGTATTATTTTTTCTGCTGCAAATTTTATCTGAGGCTGCTGAGAATTTCCAGTGAGTTGCATCCTGTGCATGTAGAATGCAAATCCTACCTTATGTAATGCCTCCACACCCAATACAATTACATTAGGAGGACATAAGCAGTTGTTTTTCTGGGTAAGTCCATTTCTTAGAGTAGATCCTTTTAGCAATAATTTTTTAGAAGGAAGATTTACTTAGCTACAATTCTTGACTGATATGAGGAAATCAGTTTGATTAAAACCCTGCAGAAAAACCAATGCTTGCATTTTTACAAAAGCTAAACATTTTACTCAGCCAGCAGATCATAATTGCTGTAAGTAGAAGAGGCTAAAAAGGATAATAATATAAGCTCTACTTCCAGTACATGAAAATGAAATACAATTTCTGTAAAGTATAACCTCAGAATTTGAGAAGCCTGTATGTCCAGGCTGCAAAATATCCATTCACCACACTGGCACACGGATGAGAAGTGGGAAAGCAGTGAAACAGTAAATGTGAGTCTGCATTCTTATTTCTCTAGCAATCTCAATAACACCACTAATAATGGTTCTTGATTCACAGCTATTATGATCCTTATCATAAGCAGATGCTAATATTTCTGCAGACAGCTTGAAAACATTTGTCAGGTGTAAGTATTTGGCACAACTGCCTGTGGTTTCAGATCTAAAGGAGGATCTTCTGTAGAGGTGTCTTTGGACCTTTTTGCAAGGTCCTCTCTTCCTTGACTTTTCCCTCCTGGTTTTCAGAAATATCCCACCATATTTCTCTTTTGGCCCCCAGTGTAGTCAAGAACAAAATTTTCCATACCCTGTTGAGGGTGCAGAATCAGGCTCTAAATCCACTGAAGCAAAAAGGAATATTGCTGCCAACATTATGCAGGTCATGTCCCAAACTAAGCACTACATTGGGGGTATTGTGTCTCAGTGATTGGTTCTGTGTACTTTGTAAATCACAGAATAATGCTATTTAAGCTTTATTATTTATTTATTAACTAATCTTTACTGACAGTATATGTATCCTGCTCTCATCTCCTAAGTGATTTCTTCTGCTCTTGCTTTTAATTGCCCAAAGTTCAACCTTTCAGGTATTGTTTCTGTGGCATTTAATTTTCAGTTTCAAAATCACCTTTTTTTTTCTGAACTGTTGTAATTTAATTGCTTGTATTGTCTCACTGAAATTGTGCATTTTTCAAGACACTGAACATGTCTTACCCCATTTGTACCTAGTGACATATAAATGGTATGAGCACCTAAATAGCTTAAATAAATTAAATAAGCTTAAACATCTAACTCATTAATTTTCCAGCTACTGTACAATTTCAGCTTTCTCAGCTTGCAGAGTTTGTTAAATTATATGTGTTTCTATTTATAGACAAAATAATTGGAAGACTGACCATGGATTTGCAGGAACGAGGGATTAATTTTTCAGTAATTTATACTGCAGTGAGACCTTCAAGGGTGAGTAATCTTCAGTGCCTAGAGCTGTCAGATTTTTTTGGCAACTAGCAACTTGATGTTTAGAGAGAAATGCTGTAGGTGATTTTCAAGATTACACAAGCAAGCAATCTGTATTATATGAGGTTTTGACCAGAAATGAATTTTCATGTATGATAGCTGTATTACATAACTACTGCAGTTTTTCTCTTCTAGGAGACCATAAACTTATTTTTAAGGACTGCAATTTTAGATACTTTTTTTTTCCCCAACCGACTCTAAAGGTTTTATAGCAAGTTCTGCGTGAAACCTTATCAAGCATCCTAGTGTGGCTGGTCAGTAAAGACAAAGTGTTAGTTAACTGAAGGCTACTAATGTGTAAATTTTTAAATTATCTTTTTCATTCCTTTTGGTCATTACTTGGTACTTACAACTGGAAGTAAAGTTTCCACCCTTCCTGATAGCCAGAACACCATTTATAGATCACATCATATTATGTTAGCAGTAAGTAGCATTGCTGAATAGTTATTTATGCAGAGTTATCTGGTTTGTATGACATGCGGGTTGTACTCAAGAAATATTCATATTTTAATTTTAATGTGATTAAATGGAAGTTTGTCATGCCTTGAGAAAAACAGAATAGAGTTCCCACTAAGAAGAGAGTTTTATGAGGGATGGGCTGTATGCATCAGCAACTTTGAAAGAAACATATCTGTTCCAGTGGTAACACATATGAGCTCCTGATATGATGCTTAGTTTAATTAGAATTTTAATTCAAACTCAAGATAAAGTAATTTGAGAATACAGAAGATATAATTCCCTTGGTTTAGGCAACAGAAAAGCCATTAGTGGGATTATCTAGATCTAGTGTGAGCAGTGCAGACAGGATCTTGAAAGCTGCAGGGTTTTCAAGAGACGACACTATGAAAAATTCAAATCTGTTCTTAAAACAAGAACAAAACCTAGAAAACCTGTTTTAAATGGGTGTGATGGTGAAGTCCCTTTATCTTATCCAAAAGAAGAATAAGAGGCAACTTGACTGCACTTCATCATGTTCTTTAAGCCAAAAGTGGATGAACCCCGCAAAGATGTTCTGTATTCAACTCGAAATAATCTGGGTTTTTGCAGGGAGGTAGGGTTTTGAACATCTGGCTGACCAACAAGATGATCAGAATAGTCCCTTCAGACTCTAGGAAAAAGGCTAGTTCTACTGAAGAAAACCAGGAACATTCTTCAGTAATCCACCCTGGGAAATTCATTTCCAGAGACTGGGTTTTGAAGACCAGACTTAGAATACAAAGCATGAGGAAGCAAGCTCACATCAACATTCTCTATGCTGCATGTTCTTGTGGTAAAGGGGAGAATTGAGTCCAGGGTTTTTGATCTGCCCTTTTTGTAAATTTTTTTAACAGATATCCAAAGTAAAAATAAAAATGATTTAGTTATTATGGATCTTTACTCTTTGAAATCAAAGGCACACTTAGCTGAAAATTGCATTTACAACAATTGGAATGAAAAATATTTTTAATTAATGAAAGAATTGGTATTATGAGAAGGAATTTTCTGAGCAGTTTTTAAAGTTTGTTGAATTTTACATCTATGCATATTTCAACAGGCTTTCTAAATTAAAGTGACTTAGTTTGAGCAACTGGAGCACTTTTAAATAATTAAAGCAATGTATTTTAAGATGTTCTGCATTAAAAAAAAAGCAATTATAACTTTTCTTAATTTTATAAATTCAATGCCATATAAACCCATTTGAAGCATATTTTCTCACCCCCAAAAAACTTTTAAGTTATTTCAGTGCATTCAAGGTTATCAGCTTCTGTACAGAGCTAGAAAAGGCAAAATGAAAAGTACCTTTGAGGGTTCATCGGTCTGTACATTTGCATGTAACCTCTTCTTAGTGTGTGTTGCATATCTTTGGCTGTGCTTGAACTGGGGAAGATGTGAACTGTTTCATAATCTTAAAATAAAGGACTAAGTTCTTTTGTTTAAACTATAAAAACTATGTATCATGATCTAGAAGTTACAGAGTTACTCCCCATTGATAACTGCGATCACTATACATGAGAAATAAAACACTTTGATCATATGGGAAAGATGATCATAGGGCTGGAGCATCTCTCCTATGAAGATGGGCTGAGACAGCTGGGGTTATTCAACCTGGAGGAGACTCTGGGGAGACCTTAAATCAGCCTTCCAGTCCTAAAGGGGGCCTACAAGAAATCTGGAGAGGGACTTTTTGCAAGGGCATGTAGAGGTAGGACAAAGGGGAATGGCTTTAACCTGTCAAAGCAAAGATTTAGATTAGATATTATTAGTAGAAAAAATTCTTCACTATGCAGGTGGTGAGACCCTGGCACAGGTTGCCCAGAGAAGCTGTGGCTTCCCCATCCCTGGAAGTGTTCAGGGCCAGACTGGATGGGGTTTTAAGCATCCTGGTCTAGTGGAAGGTGTCCCTGCCCATGGCAGAGGGTTTGGAACCAGCTAATCTTTCAGGTCCCTTCCAACCCAAACAAGTTTGTGATTACTTAGTACATTTAAGTGATTACTTAGTACATTTAAAAATTGATAGCAATTATTCAGTATGAAAGGTTTGCACTTACTAAGTTGGCTTTTCTCATTGGTGAAGGAAATGAGTTTTAAACATAGCACTTAAAAAAAAAAAGAATGGACAGCTCCTTCTGATCAGGTGAATGAATTTTATGCAATGAAGCTGCCAACAGCTGGGACTATGAGATACTTCTCTCCTGATAACACTACCTCCTTGCTGTTGGGCAGTTAATGGCTTTGTAGCATTGTCTTTTTATATTCATTCATTCTTCCATTACCTCAAGCAGATTAAAATAAATTTGAGATACACTGGAAAAGATTCCAGACTGGTAGTGGCTTCACAGGGAATGAATTTATGAGACAGAAAGGAAGACTCCCATATGATTGAATCTCTTAAAGGACCTGATGAGAAAGAGCTGTTTAGTTTAGGCAGTGCAGCCATTGATCCCTTTGGGCTATCACAGTTATCAGTTAATTACTCCAATGCATGACAGAGATATATTCAGGCTGGTGCTTGTTCTGTTCCAGTTTGAGCATTTGAAGCTGGAAGACAGAATTAAAACCCTGAAACAGGCTTTTTGGTGACCTAGATGAGATAGTTTCACTAACCAGATGATGATTAGTCTAGATATCCCATCATGTTATAAAGGATCTGCTTTCCTCCAACAAGGCAATTGCCACATCTTTCTGCTCTTGTTCAAAAATGCTTAGCCTTCAAGGTCTGCCTGAGTTGCTCTGACACTGAGAGGGTGATTTGTACCACCTCATTCTGGTGAAGTGTAAATGTCCACATCTGAAATCATCAACCAGGGTTCTTTTTCCAATAAAAGGCTTTTTAGGGTATGATCCTTCTGATCTATTTTGTAGGGGACTGCTGTGGGATGAGATGAAACTCTAGTCCATGCCATATTTTTACAAGTTTGCTTCTGAAACTTCTGCAAGACAGCTTTATAGTTGTTATCTCTTCCCAGTTATATTGAATGCTGAGGAGCCACATATTGCCAAAAGGAGATCTATGGCCACTTCCCAACTGATAATCTTTTTGCTGACTACACTTTGTACAGATGTATTGTGAAGTGCTATTTAAACCTTCGTTACTGCCTCCACACCCTCAGACAGCTTCAGCTACTGTGGGCTTTTTGACTGCTTAATTCGACAAGCTGTCTGCTCTGGCTGGCATTTAAGTGTGTTGAATCTTTGATCCCACTCAGAGCCAGGCAATGTGAGTTATAGTAGCTTTATTCAGCCATAAGTACCATGGACATCTACAGCACAAGTGGTTTCATTTGACCCTTAAAAAGTGTCTCTTGAAGGTATCTCAGAGGTGCTATTTATATGAAACCCAGCTGAAAAGATTATGAAAAGTTTCTATCTTCTTTTACAAGTGCTGGTGGTTGAATTTTCCTAGTTTTTGCCTTCTGCATTTTGCAGTGCTGCATCTTCCACTGAGATCCAGCTCCTCTCTTGTCAACTATTCAGTTCACCTCTCTGAGGAGACTAAACTCTGCGGCATCCACCCCATTAACTTCCAGCTTCTGATTAATGAAGGCTTCTGATTAATGGAATGCTTTTAACCATTTAATATACTCAAACATTATATGATTGGAATTTTCCCCATGAACAGCGTGCTAGAAAAAATGCTTATAATGCCATTTTCAGGAGCTGGGGTTGTAAGGTTAATATCCTCATGCATTCTAGAATATAGGAATTTCTTTATCCATTTATTCTTGTATTTTTTACATTTCAAGGAGCAATTACAGTTTGACTTAGTATAATAAAGCATCAGTTCTTCAACCTAAAAGAAGAAACCAAAGGAGTTTCTCATCCTTTGCCTCTCTCTACTTAAAGAATTCCATTATAATAATAAAAAAAACCACCAAACTTTAACTTGTAGATGAAAAATATGCACTTAGGTGGGTTTTTTACAAAAAAAAAAAAGACAATCTTCTTAATAGAAAAGGACTGCTTAAGGCAGTCTAGAGTAAGAAAAATGAACAAACATTTAGACAAATTAGTTTGGAAATTGAATGCTAAGGATGTGAGAAATGCTTGTTAGCAATTGTGTATGATTCATTCTGTGTATTAGTGGGAAATTGAGGGAAATAAGTGCAAATTAGTGTTTTACCTTTAACTCCAGACTTTGCACTTGGGCATTAAGATTCACTTTAAACATTTCTGCAATTTTAGCTTTCATTTTATTTTTATATTTATTGATATATATATAAGCTTATTGACTTCACTAGGAAATGAAGGGCAGCATGGAAGTGAACTCTTATTCTTACCTGATCAGAACATTTTTTTTTATTTTCAGATGCCAACTCACTTTTTAAGGCATAATGAAGCCTATGCAGGTGTTCCATATACACCAAATTCAAAAGTTCTATTTATTTTACATTTGAAACTAAGGAACAGGAAACCTGGGGTGGGAGAGGGATGGTGGAGAACACAGGTGAGGATGTGTTCTGTCT